ACTTTTGTTAATGTCCCTATTGTATTAAAACAAAGTCGAGAAAATTAGGTAGATAACTATGAGTAGATAATTATGAGGTAGCTGAGGTAGTATTTGAAATTTTCTGTGTAGTTCCACGAATATAAGGACAATAATTGATGGCGTTAAAGTGTTATGAGTGGTTACTCAGTGCAGCTAAGTCCATACTGACTGTAAATAATTCAGATTAATTTTGACATCATGTTTTTGATAAACATGCATTGAAAAATAAACTGAAGAATCACAGTATGTCTTACATATAGTAGGGTTTTAAACTGTGTTTTGTGGATAACTTCACAGTTTTCCAAAATGGCTGCTGTATTTAGATATTTTGAATATATTAGTGCTGATTTTGAGCTGACAGAGGTAACTTCGCAAACTACGATTAAGTTTTGGTATTATAGGACATATCATTTAATAAAATTACTGACATGAAAGAAAGTACACCCCACTCTGCTGTCCATGTGTTTTCATTCCACTGTGGACCAGTAACTTTATCACCATAGCCATCATTGGGATTGTACTGGTAGAGAATGATGAGTAAGTACACACACAGGAAGATCTGGTTCTCCTCAAAGGACTCTTGGTGGCTGGGCATAGCTTGATGGTCAATCCCATATTTGGCTGGCCCTTGGACAGGACTGTGCTTAATTTCTGTATGATTTTTCTCTCATAAAATGCACAAAGAAAGTTAAAAAATAGAACTTTCTGTTTTCATCTTGGGGAAGAAAAGTGCAGTTGTTCCAGTTAAGAGTAGGATTAAAATCAGTACCAATACAGGGTTAACACAGGTGTTGTAATTGTGACTAGGAAACAGGAATACTTCAGGCGGCTTCCACTTCCCCATTTTGAATCTGGTATTTGAATATTTATTGCGCCTATGAAATTCACCATTAAGACATTAGAAAGTTCTTATTTTACCTTAAAAAAAAGTTACTATTGATACTTACATTAGTAAATCCTTCTATTCTGATTTGTTTGTGGATTCCCATTATTGGTTTTTATTTTTGTTTTTGGAAGGAAATTAATTATCTGGTAATTAGTTATTAGTTTGGGTTATGAAGCTAATTGACCCCTTCCACATATTGTCACACTTATACTTAGTTTCTTTCCAGGCTGCCTATTCCTAAACTTGAAGACACCATTAAGAGATACCTCCGTGCACAGAAGCCTCTCTTGGATGATGGCCAGTTCAGGTAAATGCAGAGAACCCTGAATGACCATGGTTGGGTGGTTCAAGAGAGACTGGCAAGTAGTAGTTTCATGAAGTGTCTGTGATCCAGTTGGGTCTCCAGAAATCTGGGACCTCGTCCTTACATTTTCAAGTTTAGGAAATAGATCTTCACTCAGAAGGGGCTGAGCAAGCCCTGAAGTGACATTGTGTCTAACCAGACTCAACAGGCAATGGTTTATAAGGCAGAATGCCAAATTTATACTGTATCTTGTCAGGTGGACCTGGAGGCTAGCTGGTAATGGTCATTGGCAGAGGGCATGTGCTGTTGGTAGGAGGTTGAGGAGAGCACATGGCAGACCAGCAGTTTGCTTGTTGAGCATGTGTACTGAGCTGGATAGGATGCTGCCTTCCCCCCACCCCAATTCATTCCCTTCTGGGAATCTTAGAATGTGACTTTATTTGGGAATAGGACTGTTGCAGGTGTAATTAGTTGAGTTCATACTGGAGTAGGGTGGGTCCTTAATTTCGTATGACTGGCATCCTTATAAGAAGAGGAGAAGAGACACAGAGACAGCCATGTGATGGTGAAGGCAGATTGGAATGCACCAATAAGCCAAAGAATGCCAAGAATAGCTGGTAACACCAGAAACGAAGAGAAAGGCATGGAACAGAAAGAGAATACGGCCCTGTCAACACCTTGACTTTGTACTTCAAAGAACTATAAGAGAATATATTTCTATTGTTTTAAGCCATCCAGTTTGTGGCATTTTGTGATGGCAGTCCTAGGAAACTAGTTCAGCATGGAAGTGGAAAATAATATTGGATATTGTCAAAAGTGGGTTGCATTAAGTTCTTCTATCCCACTTTTCCATAATGGAAGGTTTTGTGCAGATAACTGGCACTGTCATTAGAATCACAGAGTCCTTCACTGAACAGTGATGGAAAATGTAGATGAATTGTTCATAATCTAGTCCTCTGCTTTTAAATATTCCATATTAGTCACTTGAAGCTTCTCTTGACATAGTTATGATTTAATAGCTACCAGTTACTAAGTATTAGGTTTAAAACTATCCTGAATCCTTAGCTTTAAAAATACTTTTTTTAATTTTGTAAGGTGGTATATTATTTCTGTTTTACACATTAAGAGACCAAGACTTAGATCAAGTCACATGTCCAGGGTCCCATAGTTTGACAGTAACAAAGCTCGAATTAAAACTCAGCTCTCCTTGACTCCAAAGCTTATGTCCTTTTCTCCATACCAAGCTGCCTCCTAGATTATAGATTGTTGTGTGAGATGTCGATTGATCTTCCCGATCAGTTATTTTAAGAAGATATCCTAAATGTATCTGTTTGGGATTGGTGGCTGTTCTTCTTGCTCAGAGGGACTTCCTGATTTCAGTCCCAGGTTCTAGGGATATGCTACAGGGGCCCCACAGCTCTGTGTAAGAGTTCTTGGCCATGAGTCTGGAAATCATGTATTTCCTGCCATGGTTTGATTCTATCTTTTCTTGAACATTTCAGGAAGACAGAACAGTTTTGCAAGAGCTTTGAAAATGGGATTGGAAAAGAACTGCATGAGCAGCTAGTTGCTCAGGACAAGCAGAATAAACATACGAGCTACATTTCAGGTAGGTGGGCTGGGCTGTGGGCACGCTATTCCTGGAGCCCTCCACAGTGGAAAGTAAGGCATCGTCTGTCCTGTTTTGGTCTCAGAATATTTTTGGTGAGACCAGCCCACCAGAGTAATGTCTCATCCTCTCTTTCTTTTTCTTTTTTTTTTTTTAATTTTTTTTTTACACTTATTTATTTTTGAGAGACAGAGTGAGACAAAGTGAGAGTGGGGGAGGGGCAGAGAGAGAGAGGGATCGGAAGCAGGCTCCAGGCTCTGAGCTGTCAGCACAGAGCCCGACGCGGGGCTCGAACCCACAGACCGTGAGATCATGACCTGAGCTGAAGTCGGACGCTCAACCAACTGAGCCACCCAAGCGCCCCTCATCCTCTCTTTCTGAGGTAAACATGAAGGCCGAGTGAATTCCTCCTCCACTAAGATCTCACCTGGAGTCAGTGCTGAGGAGCAATGTCTTGCCTGCTCTGTAGGTAGGACCGAGACAGAGCCTGATCATTGGTTCTGTTTGAAAAGGATGCAGGATTAAGTCCTGTGTCCTGCATATATCATCCTAGACGCTTCACACTCTGGCCTAACTGCCTTCTCCAGCCTCATCCCTTACTCTTCTCCATGATAGTCTTATGCCTCAACAAAACTCAACAACTCACTGTTTATTTAGTCTTTCATTCTTCTGTGTCTTTATCCATGTTGTTCCCACTACCATTTTTTAACCTGTCAAATTCTTTCTTTAAGACCCAAGTATGTGGTTGCCATTGATGGCGGGGGGTGGCGGCGGGGGGACAGGCAAAATGGTCAAAGGGGGTCAAAAGGTGCAGACTTCCAGTTATAAAAGAAATACGTCATGGGATATAATGTACAGCATCGTGACTATAGTTAATACTATTGTATATTTGAAAGGTGATAAGAGTGCAGATCTTGAGAAGTGTCATCACAAGACAAGAAGCTTTTATAACAGTGTGTGGTGATGGGTGTTAATTAGACTTACTGTGGGGATTGTTGTGTGACATATACAAATACCGAATCGTTGGGTTGTACACCTGAAAGTAACACAGTGTGTTATGTCATTTATATCTCAATTTTAAAGAGAAAAGACAAAAAACATCCAGGTGGGATGATTTTTCCAGGAAACCTTTCAGTTCTCCTCCCTCTCCTTTCAGAGTTTGTTTTTTCTGCCTCTGTTCTCACAGAACTTCTTTTAACTTAGTTCATATTTTCATAAGGTTATACATGCACATAGTTTACAGAATCAAATGGTTCTACCAGTCTTGTTTGGAAAAATGGCAATTTCCTGACCCTCCCCTAGTTTCCAGCTTCTTACTTCCAGCTGCTCATTCTTCTGCTGTCTACCCCCATTCTGCACATCACATGCCCGTTATCACTGCTTCTTAACTTTTTCAGTTGTAGGCATTATCTGCTGACGTCTCACTGTGGAAGACCAGAACCGAGCAGTCGCTCATGTCCCCACCACACATATGAGTGTACATGCACACGTCCCATTCCCTGATTATTGCAGTGTGGTTGTTTGTCATTTTGGTTTGCTCGATACGTAGTGTTTATACTAAGGACCACATATACCCTATTGTCAACTGAGTCGTGGAGCATACTGAGATTGTTTTTCCTGTTCCTGTGTGAGCTTTTTTCCTCTTAAGTTAATAATGGTCTTCTACTTTATTTTGTTTCGTTTTCTATATGCTTAATAATTTATTGGGGAAGTTTTTTTCTCATCTTCCTTCGTAGTCTGTCTCCAAGTTGCTTTTTTCTCTATTTGTTTTGCCCGCTTTTCTTTCTTCAGATCTTCATAATCCTTCTCTGTTGTCTTAGATTTGAGTGAGATATTGAAAAGCTCTGTGGATGAGGGTGGGGCTGGTCCGTCAGAACTTCACTGTAATGTGACCCGGCTAAACCATTTCCTTGGGGTGCCCTTGTACTAATGTCTCTGGGTTAGACTCCCAAGAAAGGCTTTTCCATTAAACTGCCAAATGGTATGTTCCCCGGTTGCTACTGTTGTAGGAGTAGAGTAAGGGAAGAAGGCTTGAGATCTCACCTATGACTTCTGTCCCTAGTTTTACTTTCTCCAGAGAAGAAAACTCAAGTCTGCCAAATAGTACGCATTCTGGGGGTTCTGCTGTGTAAATCATGTTATCTCTTGGCTTTCTCTGCCACTGGCTTAAGGTTGGCTTTTTTTTTTTAATGTTTGTTTGTTTGTTTGTTTATTTATTTATTTATTTATTTATTTATTTATTTATTTTGAGAGAGAGAGAATCCCAAGAAGGTTCCTTATTGTCAATGCAGAGTGCAACATAGGGCTCAAACTCACCGTGAGATCATGACCTGAGCCGATTTCGAGAGATGGACGCTTAACCGACTGAGCCACCCAGGCGCCCGTGATAGACACATTTTCTGATAAAATATTGCTTCTGGAATTTTTACAGGTGAAATATCCACAGGAATGTAGAAGGCTAGTTTGGATGATCCACACACACTGGCTATTATTTCTAATTGCTTTTTGAGCATTTCTTAAAAGAGGGAGTACACAAATGTACAGCGTACCCAGACTGATGGTGAATACTTTCCCCCACGTTAGGTTGACAGCCAAGTGTGAATGTTGTCCCTGAAAGGAGATAAAACAAGAGAAATCCAAGGAAATGGGTGGGAACTAACACCTGTTCCATTTGAGCGTGAATACAGGTGAGATGTTACTGTATTTCTTTGAGAGTCAAGAAAGGAAATAGAATGAGAAAGAAAAAGCAATAAACCTAGGGAAATGCAAATCAAAACCACAATGATATACCCACCAGAATGGCTGTAGTCAAAATGACAGACAATAATTAATGTTGCCCAGGACATGGAGAAATTGGAACCCTCATGCATGGTGAAAATGGTGCAGCCACTTTGGAAGACAACCTGGCAGTTCCTCAAAAGATTAAACACAGACTTAACTACGTGACCTCACAATTTCATTCCTAGCTGTTGCCCTAGGAGAATTGAGAATATCCATCCACACAAAAACTTGTACACACCAGCATTGCTCATAATAACTAAAAAGCGGAAGCAATCAAAGGTCAGTCAACCAATGAATGGACAAACAAAATGTGGTATAATGGAACATTACTCAGCAATAAAAAGAATGAAGAACTAATACACGCTACA